TGAATCCTTGTAATGCTGTTTGTGCAGTTGTCCAGTGTTTCTTTAGCTTCAGTTTCTTCTTGACCACAACTAGGTGATTATCTGATGCTATGACAGCTCCTCTCCTGGTTCTCACGTCTTCTATTAACTTACTGAATTTTGCAAATATGCAAATATGATTGATCTGATCCTGAGTAATGTAATCCGGTGAGATCCATGTAGCTTTGTGTATGCGTTTGTGTGGAAATATTATGTTGCCTATAACCAATTTGTTGAATGCACATAGATTTGCAAATCTCCCTCCATTTTCAATTCTCTTTCCTAGTCCACGTCGTCCGATTATATCTTCATATCCTGTGTTGTCCCCTCCGACTTTGGCGTTTAGATCTCCCATCAGGATGGTCATGTCCTTTCCTGAGCACTTCACTATGATCGATCGCAGCCTCTCATAGAACTGATCTTTATCGTCGTCGATGTTATTGGTGGTGGGTGCATAACATTGGATAACTTTCATTGTGATCCCCTCCTTCTCTGTTTTAAATGTTGCTTTGATGATTCTGGATCTGTGAGATTCCCATTCTACAAGTGTATTTCGTGCTTCTCTGGACAACATTAGAGCAACTCCTTGTGTGTGTGTGTGTGTGTGTGTGGAGCATTTACTTGCTCGTGAACAAAGTACAACAATATCTCTCCCGAATTTAATCTTCTCTGTCCAGCCTGGATCCAATGGTTTTCACGTATTCAGAGAGACTCCAATTTGTATCTCATCATTTCCATTACTGTTTGACTGGTCCTCCCGATCTCCCACATTGTCCGGACATTCAATGTATCTATAATAGTAGTTGCTGTGGTTGTTAGAAGGCGTATCGTCCTCGTGACTTCCAAAGAATCTCGTTTTTCACCATGAGGCGTCATAATTCTTCCTTTAACTCGGAGGGCAGAGTTTAAATGGTTTATTTCAGTTAACATAAGTTACTGTTATTCGATCATAGGTGTCTTTGAAGAATTGCTCTTGTGTTTTGAGAATACTGGGCAATTAATGCCTGAATCTAGAACAGGGTGACAAATTGCTTGATAAAGTGGTAGATCTTCATCGATCGAGGTTTTTGGGACATGAGTTATGGTATTTCCAACCACCGCCCTTCTTGACAGTCGATGTTTGTGGTGTAGAAGTAGGCTTGAATAAAGTTAAGGGAAGCCAAACCGAAATATTACATCAGTTTATGGAGTGACTGACAATTTGGACTGAACCATGTTAATAGGTGTAGACTACCTACCTTGTCTGCGTGATTGTCATAACCAATGGTTAGAGACTTTGAATAACGTGGTTCAAAATCGTTTGTATTAGCACAGGTGCATCCATTCTTTGTTATCTCCCGAATTCCAAGCTTCTGAGTTCTTCCCAATTATTTCACTCCACTTATTTATATTTCCTTGAATTGTACTATGGATGCCTAATCTTTTTTATTACCACTGATACTATTACTACCTTTACTGTTCTTGTATTTAGCGTGGCAATTTTTTCTGTTTGTGTTTGTGGGGTATAGCTTTTAGAAACGATGTACGTATGTACTAAGTTCCACGTTGTGTCCGGCATAACTAATCTAAATATTTCCAGGTTGTTTTATTAACGGTATGGCAGTTCAGACATTTATTATTTAACTGTGGATTAGTAGGTTTAAATTTTATCATATCTACTTATGTTTACACGATCTTTTAATATTAGTTTTTTTCAAAACTACTGCACTGTTTATTTATATAGTTTTTGAGCGATAAAAGAAACCTAGTTTGTGAATGTTGTTCAAAAATACCTAAAACTTTGCGTAGACACATCTTTTCCTTTAGTATCAACTTCTAAGCTTGTCTTTCCAGTCTCCTATAACTGATTCCCAGTTTTTTCCGGGTCCAATGTTTTAAAATATCTTTTCTCTACGTGTTCAGCATATAGCAACTTCATTGACTTGTTATATGTCTTTTTCTAAGTATTCTGGTCTTTGTTTTTCTTCTGATAATTAGTTTCATTTTTGAATTAGTTGTATGCTCTCTCAACTTCTCAGATTGTTTTTACTTGTAGCCTCACAAGACAATTTATACCTTACATGAAGCTTGATTATTAAAAGTAATCAATCATATTTTCCTTTTTTTTTCTCCTTTAATAACTATTTCTTTCTGGTGCCCATGATTATCATTTCTCTTGTTATTTGGATGTTTTAGATTATACTTCAATAGTCCAGATGATTCATCCCGACGTAACACACAGACAGTATTTTGGTTAACTGTTGAATGTCTAAAAGCTCTTTTAGCACCAATTTTACCTTATTTAATGGAAGAAGTCGAGTCGGTAACTTGGAATCTTTTGTCATCTCAATTAAATGACTTTAAGCAATCCACAACTCTTTTGGAACGTTATTCATCTTTATCCTTGCATGATTATTGTTCTGTAGACAAGTCGAAACCGTGTTCAGATTGGATATTATGCTTATCGGCTATGAACCGGTGGGATAAATTTAAAAATTATTCAAATTACGTAAATACTGCTTCTTCATTGTTTCATTCCTTAATCAATTCATTACCAAAAGGTGAAGAGTATATACCTTCTACTGGTTCTTTGTCAAGTGCTAATGTGCATATCACTATACCAACAAAAAGTCAAGAAGTATATCACATGTTAAAAGTATGTATTTTTGTCAACGAATTTACCTATATATATATATATATATATATATATATATATATATATATATATATATATATATATATATATATGATTAATCCTTCCTAAGAAATTACTAAATGTTCATTTTTCTGGCTTGGTTGTTTTTGAGGCTAAATAACTTTTAGATGTTAAATTATTGGATAGTTATGGGGTTTTCTAAACTAATAACTAAGTAACTACTCATTATTACCTACTTTTAGTAAGGCAGTGACTCTGTGGCTGAAGGGTTCGAAACCTGATTCATCTACTTCAGTTTGGGCAGCCACTTAGTATCATTAACCACCGCTCTTAGAGAGTGGCTCATGCTGAATTACGTTGTGCATGAGTTAATTCTAATTATACTTTCAGTGAAATGTTTTTCCTGCTGAACCGATTTTTAATAGTTCTTGTAATCGCTTTTATTTTTCAGGCTCTTCATCCACTGGAATCATGTATTTCTGTATCATCAGATTTGTGCTATATACTTCGGGCATCGTCAATCTCGTGGTCAGTAGGATCATATGGAGATGAAGTTACTAATACATTAGGATGTTATAATTTCAGTATAAACGATCTGCAAGTGTCAGTGACATTTCCTTTGGGGGATCAAACAATCAAATGTCAACGTTGTCATAGGTACACGAATAACAATTTTAAAGATACTTTATGTCCCCGTTGTATACAGGTATTAGATGGTTCTTTATCTTCAAAACATTAGTCAAACCCTTGTAAACTACTTATGTTTTTTCTAATTTTATTACAAAACTAAGATAAATTATCTTTTCTTTATTTTGTTCCATTTGAAATATCTTGTTTTCTGCTGTATGGGGTTGCCGACCCCATGCCTAACCCTGCTCTTTTACCCGAGCTTGGAACCGGCGTTATCTCTATAAGAGTCACTGACAGTGTTCAATTGGAAGCTTATGATGAAGGGAATATCAATATACATGTAATATAGTTATTTAGTAGTTATACAATAAGAATTTATATAAAAACAGTCCATAAATAGATCCTAGCGGTTACCATTCACTTGTTCTTCGTCCTGATATAACACTCTAGACCAGTGGATTTATTACCGTTGTTTTTACCAGTCTTATTGTACATGTCAATATATATGGAGAGAGATTGGTAGTGTAATAAATATTGGTAGCTAAGTGATCTACAATAGAAGGAACAATTTATTCATTGCTTCACGCTACATAACAATGATTGTTAGTTCTCGGCGAGACTGATCTTCAGTTTCTCCCCATTTCATTACCTTTTGTATATTTCGTTATACCACTTAATAATATTCAGTAAATGACACCGTCTTAAATCATTATAAAGAAATAGCTCGTAACTCTTCTTCGTTGGTACATATTGTTAAATTTATAACTTTAATGCAACTTCTCAAAATTTAAGCCGGCTAGTCCTTTTTATGAGTTTTGATTGGATAATAAGAAGACATGCAAACATGGGAAGTAGAAAACCATGTTTATCGTTGGCAAAACATACAATTAAAACAGCATCGAATTAATATTGACACGGCTTTCAAAACGTTGCATAAAAATTTCCAGGGACAATTTCTTAAGTTCATAGAAACCTTGGTTATTCGTAATTTCAAACTCCTATTTATGTGTTCATAAATAGTTTGTTATAATCATGAATTCGACGCGGTAATCTTTATGAGATTTTGGGGTCTTGCATTGTGCAACAATTTCGTTTTCTTGCCAACATTATATTGATTTTTCTTCTTCCTTATTTACAAATGTCAATTTATCTTAATTTGAAATTTTATTTAATTGAGCTGTATTAATTTTCACATAGAATGCCTTGATTAGATTGGTTCGAAATGTATTGCCCACATTCATAACACCTTTCAGATCAACTCTGTCTTATTGTTTTTAACACTTGTATCAGTCACTTCCAATTTCTGTACATTCACTGAGCTTTCGTTTGATTCTAACAGTTTTTATTTTCCCTATCCCGAGTCCTCTTTTCTATTTTTGTCCGTCGTTTTGTTTTTGGACACAGCAACTAGCTATTGACTACTTTATAACAACTATTTCAAAAAGTATTTCTCTTTAGATTGTACAAAAGCAGAAAACACCTCATGAAATCATGTTTATAAGTATTCTTCATATATTTTCGTAATAATAGTAGTGTGTTTCAGACAATTCCCTCGTTCTGACCTTAAAGCTTTTACAAGTAACTCGGGACTGTTGATATTATAGACAAGCATGGTGTTGTACGCCAAAAATATAAGCAGAAGGATCATTTTGTAAGCAACAATCTACTAGATAAAATGTCAGTCTAAACAGTTTAAGTAATTAGTTAATCTTTTTTTCTCTATTTAGAATGTTATTCATTAAATAAATGAAAACATGAAGTTATTTCAGCCAAAAAAAAAAATGAAAATAATCCAGAAAGTTTGTACGTATCAATCTCTTTTTAGAAATTTTCTCCAACTAAAAATATTACGAATTTAAGTAGAAGCCAGACTTTCATTTACATAACTTCATAACTCAAGTACTTAGATGTTAACTACATACAGATGAGTGGTGTTTTGAAGGGGCTATATTTCAGTAATGGTAATGACTCACTCATAAGATATGTGTTAATGATAACTAAAATTAATAGGAGCACAGATGCAGAGGAATTAAAATGAACTGACTTTAAAAGAGATCTGCACTTAGACTCAGCAAACGGTGTACTTTTAGAAAACCTGTAATTGGGAGTTAGGAGTTTGCATTTCTTTTTCCTACAACATACTACTTACTGGTTTGAGTTATTTTAAATCATTATCATGGCATGTAAACTAACTCATGACCTGTCAGATTATTTAGCAATATGTAAAACGGCAATAATTTCTTAGAAAGTGGAATTTGAAATTAAAATTAATCTGCTGTCCGAACATACTAGAGGGACTTAATCTCTTATTTCTTAGGTTTCAATATGTAATCTTACTGTTGAATAAGACTATTTGTACGAAATCTACAGAAACAAACTTTATAACTGGCCCCGTTTACCAAATGGCAAGATACAGGAATTTCCGTTAGTTAATTAAAATCATATTCCACTTGTGGTTTCCCCACATTTGCATTTTAACATACCATCCAGCTTATCAACTGGTTTTTCAGTTCAATACTTTGCTTTCTGACCAAATGTTGGTACAGATAGTACTTTTCCAAGACCTACACGGTATTGAAATAGGAATGCTAGAACCATAAGGCAGGCACATTGAAAACTATTCCATCAGACTGGTTTATTAACTTAGGAATTAATCCACAAGTGTGTTGACAGTGGGCTGTTAATTTCTCGTGATTGAGTGCTTATCTACCAGTATGTATGCTAGTATGCTAGTCCTGAGAGCCCTTCTCTACTTATTCACTTAAGCGTAATATCGGAACTCCATGTATCTTTTAGTCCCCTCTTATTATTTCATATTCCAAGCTAGAGCTTGCCTTGAGATGTAGTTTACTGGTTCCCGTTGAAGTTATCCTATCCACCTTCTGTATTTCTTCCTCGACTGATAGTTTGTCCTCTAACAGAGTAGATTATTCCTGATGTTGTCTGGTCAGTGGATCTGGAGTGGCTTGAGTAAACAACCGTTCATAAGTACCTGTACCTTTTTGATGATAGTTGTCGTAGTTCACATAGTTTCAGCACAGTATAATAGAACAGTAAACATCAGTGTTGAAAATTCTGACTTCGGCCTTGAGTGGTAGCTCGTTTTAGTTCTAAACCCTTTTCTTGTTCGTGACTGAAATACAACAACAGCTATTGTGAAGTTTGTTTCAGACTGTATCTAATGAGTTTCGCTTATCCCAGTCAATGTTAGGTTGCGTCTTCTAATTCCGGAAAATATTTGAATGGCCCACCTGGTCTCACATTTTCTGGACAGTCCAATTATCGGTATTAATTGGTACTCTAGCTGTCAGAATGGGTCTCGGCCCTGTGGCCTCCGAATAATCTTGGCCTTTATCATGGGGCTTCATAAATCTTCTACTGACAAAGTATATTTTAAATGATTTAGATTATTCTTCCTGGTTAGTGTCCCTTTACTGATGTTTTATTCGAACTAGTATCCCTAACCGTCCTAGTATATCCAGACTTGATAGTAACCCTAGAGAGCTCAAGAAGTAGTTCTGAGAGTATATCCTGACCACTAAGAGGTTGTAAATCAACACCGAAGTTCTAAAATACCCTGTCGATTCTAGTCCCGTAGATCTACTTTAATAGCCTTCCAAAAACACAAGCGTCAAATAAAAAGATGCGGATTCGGAAATTATGGACATTCGAGATTTCGATTTATATACACTAAACTAATACAAACCAACAACAATAAAAACCATAGTCGGCTAATGAACTACTCAAACGTAAATTATTGCCGTAGGATTCAAGTCAACAAATAGCTGCCTGGAACTTAAAAACATTGATTAGTGAGATATGCCACAATATTCCAATGGAAGCAAGATAGATACCATGAAATAAGAAAACCTTATACCTCTCATAAAGTTTTTACAGTGGGAAAATCAAAGGAATAAGCTGATCTCGTTTAAACAACTGAGTATCCTAAATTCTTAGATCCAAATTAATGGCAACTACCGAATATCAAAATAGACTCCTCAATCAGCTGCTTTTAATAAGTAATTTGTATCAAATATTTTGATAAGTATCTACTTATACAGAGGATGGATAAAAACACGAGTTTAAAAATTGATACATTCTAATGTTCAATTTGTATTGACGTAAATCAGTCAGCGTCATTGGTAATATGGTTAATCGTAAGTGAATATATCACATGTGACGAAGTCATCTCTTAGTTTTAGATCATATGGGACTTTGTTAAAGCTTAGCAAGCGAATACCAGTGTATATTTTGTCACCACTATGGAGTGAAAAAATGATAAATCACAAATCAAGCTACAGTCTTATGATTAGCAGTAACATAGTGACGAGATATATTTTATACTCGTCTCAATAGCACATTTTTTAACTTCAGAAGACTGAAAGAAAACCCAACATGATGTTTCAACAAGTTGACAAACCTGTGAACAAAAGTGGCAAGAAATTAATACTACAATCAACTGTCAAACCATAAGTAAAGCTGTACAAACAAGTACAACTATTCTGAAAATAACATTCCTAAACTCTGTATATACATACCTTAATGGACAAAGCGGGCTTCGTAGTTCGATAGGTACGTAGTACGAAGTGGACGAAACGAATCCATTCGAAGTGGCCAATAAACACTTTGATTATACTTTATTCAGATTAATGAAATCCACAGGAATTAGAAGACTTAAACCTAACCTTTGTAGTAAAAAATAGTCAGTAGTTAATACACAACTGCCTTTGTAACAAATCGCACTAAACATTTTGATCTATTTTAATTAATCGTCATCATAAGCTAGTGAGATTAACTGACGTCTTTTTTTCCTTTCTAACCCTTCTAGTTGTCTTATGATATTACATATTAAATTTACCTTGAATATCCTAACACTATCACACCAAAAGATTATTAAAAAACCCGTAAGAATTTTAATTCTTAACGTCTCATACATCCCAAACAACCTATTTGTTAGTGGTTCATTTCTTCCAAATGTAGCATTAAGTCAATACTTGGAATTTACTAGACTTATCAGCTTGTATGTAGCTGAAGAGAAAGCAACGAAACACATCATATTCTAAGAGCATTATCATTGTTACTCAGTTCACATTTGTGAAAGGAACTGATTGCATGGAAAATAATAAGAACCATGTAAATTATAAAATTTAGTCATTAAAATAAATCGTTAATAAAAGTTATCAAATAATGATATGCAATGATAATAATATTGAAAGTCTAAAAAACTATCAGTTAATTATTACAACATGATGTGGCAAATCAAAAGATTAAATTATCTGTTCTCTAATTACTTAACTATAAGACAAAATAAGAGCGGTACAATTTAATCAAATGAACTGGTGATTATAATCACAGAGGCAGAAATAAAAATGCAATGTTTGTTAATGATCATTGTTATGATCAGCAACAGTATACTTTTTTGATTCATTACACTCACTGAAGTTTTTCATTAATTTACAAGATAGAGAAGAACAGTTAACAATAACTGAATCATGAGGTAGAAGTTCAGGCGGTCGGATAACACCTCTAGTAATATCCCAACATTCTTTTATAATGTCAGAATTTATTTGAGAAGATATATACGAATCATTTTTGTAGTCAGGATGTTTCATGATACGACTTCTCATCCATTTGGCAGTAGTCATCAACTCACCTAAATAGGAAAACAACGAAAAGAAATCAAATAGTGAAATATTCATTGACATGTCGACAGATGAATCACAAATAAAATTATTGAGGAAGACTAAAACCAACGATTTACTGTTCATGAGTATTAGTACTTGTAGAAAACGATATACTATCACAGGTATGTCAAGCCATTAAGTTGCACCCTCTGTAAGTCACTAACCAGGAAGTCATCATAGACCAACAGACGGTAGTTTGGGACAGCTTTTTTTACACATAACAGCACCATGTCATGAAACGACCACCTCTTTGAATAATGAAGGATGTGGATAAGATGACTTCCGTAACACATGTTCAAGCCAATGAAGTCAATTTTTCGAAATAGTAACACCGACTGAATTATAGTCGGTGCGCCCGAACACAGAGCCAAACTTTAGCACTAATTACTTCCTGATGCTTTGAATGTCAGCAATCCTGTGGAGACAACGATGACTGGACACACAGAGTCACAGAATACCCTGAACACGGAGTCGTTAGATTTGTTTGGTAGAAAAGCTTAATGAATCAATACATAGTTTGAGTAAAACATAAAAAAGGCAGGTCGTTTAATATATACGCTTTCATTGATTGTACCTTGTAATACTAAACGAAGTAATAAAAAGAAAACTATCAATATTGTTGTATGTTGATATACGTTTTCATAACTATTTTATAAAAGATAGAAACAACATAATCTCTGACCGATTAACTATACTGATATCAATTAGAAATTTTATCAAGGAAAACATGTTCATAAATGAAATAATTGACAACCAAGAAGATAATAAATTATGAAATAGACTTTTTTTTTAAAGTTATACACACAAAAAGAAAATTTGGAATTAGTTATAATTTAAAATCATTAGTTATTAAACAATAACTAATGAGCTAAGCAAACTCCGCCTGAAGCTCCTCTGGGGGTTACTGCCGGTCCCAAGCCCGGGTAAAGGAGGAGGGTTGGGCATGGGTTTAGCGACCCCATCCCGTAGAAAATCAACTCGCTAAAAAAACGCTAACCAGAAAAAATTATTCAAACAATTTAAACTGTGCTCTGGGAGTAGAAGGAATAATTATGACGTCTCATGAGGCCGAGTTCCTTCGGAAGTCATGAGGCCGATGCACATTGTAACAACCAGAGCAACAATATTTATAGGTACATGGAATGTCCGGACAATGTGGGAGACCGGAAGAGTCTTCCAAATTGCTGCAGAAATGAGAAAATACAACCTGGAGGTGCTTGGAATCAGTGAAACGCATTGGACGCAGGTTGGACAACAACGACTGTCTTCAGAAGAACTTCTGTTATACTCCGGTCATGAAGAAGAAAATGCTCCACATACACAAGGAGTTGCATTGATGCTGTCTAGAAAAGCACAAAATGCACTTATAGGATGAGAATCTCATGGACCAAGGATCATCAAAGCCTCCTTCAGAACAAAGAGAGAGGGCATTACAATGAACGTCATCCAATGCTATGCGCCGACCAACGACTACGATGAAGACGCTAAACACCAATTCTACGATAGGCTGCAGTCGATCTTTGAGAAGTGGCCAACCAAAGACCTAACCATTCTGATGGGAGATCTCAATGTCAAGGTTGGAAAGGACAACACTGGATATGAAGACGTCATGGGACAACAAGGACTGGGAGAAAGGAACGAAAATGGTGAGAGATTTGCAAACCTATGTGCCTTCAATAAACTGGTCATAGGTGGCACCATATTTCCACACAAAAACATACACAAAGCCACTTGGATTTCACCGGATCACACTACACAGAATCAAATCGACCATATCTGCATCAACAAAAAGTTCAGGAGGACGATGGAGGATGTGAGAACCAGAAGAGGAGCTGATATAGCATCCGATCATCATTTGCTGGTCGCCAAGATGAAACTAAAACTCAAGAAGCACTGGACAACGGTGCGGACAACATCACAAAGGTTTAATACGGCCTTTCTTCGAGATGCTGACAAACTCAACAAATTCAACATAGACCTCAGCAACAGGTTCCAGGCCTTTCATGATCTACTCAATGGAGAGGGAACTACCATGGAGAGCAACTGGAAAAGTATCAAGGAGGCAATCGTTTCAACATGTCAGGAGATTCTGGGCCAAAAGAATCACCATCACAAGGAATGGGTCACTGTTGGTACACTAGATAAAATTGAAGAAAGAAGGAACAAGAAGGCAGCAATCAATATCAGCCGAACAAGAGCAGAAAAAGCCAAGGCTCAATCCGAATACACAGAGGCAAACAAGCAAGTGAAGAGGAGCATCAGAACCTACAAACGTAAATATGTGGAAGATTTAGCGATGACAGCGGAAAAGGCTGCAAGAGAGGGAAACATGAGACAACTGTATGATACAACAAAGAAATTTGCTGGAAATTACCGTAAACCAGAAAGACCAGTGAAAAACAAGGAAGGCAAAGTAATCACCGACACTGAAGAACAACGAAACAGGTGGGTAGAACACTTCAAAGAACTCTTAAATCGACCAGCTCCACTGAACCCACCCAACATCGAAGCAGCACCCACAGACCTCCCAATCGATGTTGGCCCACCAACAATTGAAGAGATCAGCATGGCCATTAGACAAATCAAGAGCGGCAAAGCAGCGGGACCAGACAACATCCCGGCAGAGGCACTGAAAGCAAATGTAGCACCAACTGCCAAGATACTCCACATCCTCTTCAGTAAGATTTGGGACGAAGAACAAGTACCAACAGACTGAAAAAAGGACTTCTGATCAAAATACCAAAGAAAGGTGATCTTAGCAAGTGCGACAACTACAGGGGCATCACTCTCTTCTCAATACCAGGGAAAGTCTTCAACAGGGTATTGTTAAACAGGATGAAGGATTCCGTGGACGCCCAACTTCGAGATCAACAAGCTGGATTTCGTAAGGATAGATCGTGCACAGATCAAATCGCAACTCTACGTATCATTGTGGAACAATCAATCGAATGGAATTCATCACTCTACATCAACTTCATCGACTACGAGAAGGTAATTGATAGCGTGAACAGGACGACACTATGGAGGCTTCTTCGACACTAAAGTGTGCCTGGGAAGATAGTCAATATCATACGGAACTCCTATGATGGACTAAACTGCCAAATCGTCCACGGAGGACAACTCACCGACTCGTTTCAAGTAAAGACTGGTGTTAGGCAAGGTTGCTTACTCTCACCGTTTCTCTTTCTCCTGGTAATCGACTGGATCACGAAGACGTCAACGACTGGAGGAAAGCACGGGATACAGTGGACAGGCAGGATGCAACTTGACGATCTAGACTTCGCGGATGATCTGGCTCTTCTATCACAAACGCAACAACAAATGCAGGAGAAAACGACCAGTGTAGCAGCAGCCCCAGCAGCAGTAGGTCTCAATATAAACAAAGCGAAAAGCAAGACTCTCCGATACAACACAATATGCACCAATCGAATTACACTTGACGGAGAAGCTTTGGAGGATGTGGAAACCTTTACATATCTGGGCAGCATCATTGATGAACACGGTGGATCAGATGCAGATGTGAGGGCGAGGATCGGCAAAGCAAGAGCAGCGTACTTACAACTGAAAAACATCTGGAGCTCAAAACAATTGTCAACCAACACCAAGGTTAGAATTTTCAATACAAATGTCAAGACAGTTCTATTGTATGGGGCGGAGACGTGGAGAACTACGAAAGCCATTATCCAAAAGATACAAGTGTTTATTAACAGTTGTCTACGCAAGATACTTCGGATCCGATGGCCAGACACTATCAGCAACAAGTTACTGTGGGAGAAAACAAATCAGATTCCAGCGGAGGAAGAAATCAGGAGGAAGCGCTGGAAGTGGATTGGGCACACTTTGAGGAAATCACCCGGTTGCGTTACAAGACAAGCCCTCACATGGAATCCTGAAGGTCGAAGGAGAAGAGGAAGACCAAAGAACACATTACGCCGAGAAATAGAGACAGACATGAGAAGAATGAACAAGAACTGGATAGAACTAGAAAAAAAGGCCCAGGACAGAGTGGGTTGGAGAATGCTGGTCGGCGGCCTATGCTCCATTGGGAGTAACAGGCGAAAGAGAAGAAAGAAGAGAATGAGCTAAGCATGGTGAGCAAAGATGGATAGTGACTAACAGTGAAATCCAGGACGCGGGTTTCGTCCCATTTGGTACTCGTCAGCTGGATGTACCTGCATCTTAGAGACTGACCAGTTGCAGTCTTAAAAACATCAGTGGGAAGATCCAAACAAACAATATTGATTAAATTTTAATGAGCTAAGCATTAAAATATTTCTTTTTTTTTGTTTTAACTAACTCTAATTATCAATACACTGTCTTAGAAATTCATGTGAGAGAAAAAAAATATGATTTCCATGATAACTAACTAAGCCTATATACATGTTATCTGTTTATTGATCAAAATATATTTTACATAAGCTTGTCGGAAGTATAAACGACACAGAATGATTTTGAATCAAAAATCATGTACTAATGTGTAATTTACTATTAAACTACAAGCTCAGATTGCAAAACAAACATATACAAATACAGACACACACACACACACACAAGAAGACGGATTAATCATGTAAACGGATTTCCAATTTTAAAGATTGAATTGCTTACATCAAGAAAGTGTATTTGGATGTATAATGCAATATTTGAAAACACACACAGAGATTAAAAATTACGTAGGTTTTCTGATTCGATTATAATGTAAAAATGGAAATGAAGAAAGCAACCGATCATCTGATAAGTTTCAAAAAAAAAACTAAACAAGATCATAAGCTCGAGAAAATATGAAAAATATTTATCTTCAGTATTTTATTCAACAAGATTATTTTAAGACCATGTACTTTCCTCTCAAAGTTTTACAGAAAATAACTTGTACTATAAATTTATACACCAAATTACTTTTGGGTACTTAATTGTGAATCTTAGCATTATATTGTGGAAACATAGCTTCGGGTCCAAAGTAATTGTGAAGATGATGAGTACTTTATCTTATTTTGTGTATGATTTCTTAAATAACACAGTTTTTTATTCATATGCAATCATCATTCCCACAAATAAATTCAATTTGGAAATCGATGCCATCTTAAATACACCAATTGATAAAAACAGAAGTTTTAATGTTTGACTCTCTAAAGTTTATATTATTCAACTTAGACTAAATAGTAGAGTGATATCCATGAAGATGATCACTAACAAAAACAAAGCACCGGCAAGTTGTGTTGCCATGATTTTCAAACCCATATATATCTTGAAATTTTAAGTTTGAATGTTGGCACGATACTTGCAGTTTGAAACTCTTTGGTGAAGACTATTATCATATTGAATACACATCTACAAACACTCGATTAAATAATGATCAAGTGTTGATTGGTATCTTATCTCGAAATAAATGTTCGCAAGTGTCGATGAACTGAGTGGAGCTAAATATGATTGATTATCAACTAATTTTTTTTATATTTATTTACATTTATCCCTCGATTGGTCGATATTTAAGCGATACATTTTACAATCATTTATATAGTGATAAGGAAGCAATAGAATATTTCGATTAGTCTATACATGATCCGATTAAAGAAGCGTTTGATAATCATTAGCTATATAGTTCAAACAATTTTAAATTCTTAAATCACATATACAGAGTTTAGTGATTAAATCATTATAATTTCAGTAAATCCACGAAATCCACTATTTAAAACCATTCTTTTCATTGATTCACTTCAGTTTCAACAAGTGTGATAAATGAAATTCTTATAATTTATACAAAAACAAAGTACGAACTAACCTGATGCTCTTTTTTGTATTAAATCCAAATAGCTATTAATAAGATCAATAGTTTCAAGATGTCCACCAGTTTCTTGAACATAATGACGAATTAAAGGGAGAAGACCTGGAAAAGTACCCTACAGTAAAATGGAGAGCGATAGAGATAAAGAATTAATCAATTTCAGTACAAACAATATACGAGACTTATAAGAAGTAACACAAAATCATAATGATATTGAAAGGAAATTAACACATCGGATTGTATCGTATAAATACACTGAGAATGAATTGTTATTTACTCACATTATCAAGTCATGGTCTTATCAGTTAAAACGCGAGGTCAATATCAATAAACTGACAATATTCATCAGAAAAATTATACAAAACTGACGGTTATCTTATCTGTAATTACGAATGTGATTTGAAAAGAATGAAATCAAAATTCGAAAGTGTACCTGAATATTTTTAAAATATCAATACTTTTTTCTACGATTATGTTATAAATGTTTAGTCAGTATGATATATGAAGTAGCAGTGGTGTAGAAGCCATGAACTAACGTTATGAGATATGTTGGAAAAAGCATTCCCTGAAGATTGAAAAAAAAATGAACGGTTTCAGACTGGAAATCGATAAAAGAGAAACAACAACTGTTAACCAGTCGATTGCTACTTTTGATATTCGTCATCATACATTTTACTTATTCATCTAATTATATTAATCAATTGGATCATCTTTATTTACTTAATTGTTATTATTGACTAAATAGACCATTTTGAGATAAATTTCAAACTACACTATCAATAATTATGGAAATTTCTACATAGTCATTTTTGTAAAATAAATTTATGAATAATAATTAAATAACCATATATGATACTTTATATAGTGTATTTTTTAAACAAATCTTTCTCTATGATACATAATAACACTAACTGATTACTTAAATTAAAGTAGACAAAATTAAACTAGAGATGATGAAGGTGTTTTTTATGGAGATTTAGTATTTTCATGGCTTAAAGTGTGAGTCAATTGAAGCTAAGCCACCAGGGAAAACTTTGAAGCACTGGACGACCGTTTCGTCTTATTGTGGGACTCCTCAGCAGTGCGCATCCACGATCGCGCCTCGCGGGATTCAAACCCAGGACCTATCAGTCTCGTTGGATGCCGGCTCAGTGGTCTCGAGGTTAAGCGCTCGCGCGCGAGACTGATAGGTCCTGGGTTCGAATCTAGTGAGGTGGGATCGTGGATGCGCACTACTGAGGAGTCGCACAATAGGACGAAAAGGCCGTGCAGTGTTTCCAGGTTTTCCCTGGTGGTTTAGCTTCAATTGGCTTACGCTTTCAACTATAGAGATAATGAATTAATTTTTGAAATTTTAGTATTTTAACTAACAACAAGTGAAAATTAATTTTTGTTTGCAAAATTACGGCTATTTCACCACTTATTACATTATTTGACCTTTTTATAATTAAGTAGAAATAATTTTTTTATAAAGAAAAGTATATTAATGCCATTTTTTGCCTGTTAAATATAGAAAGTTATAGCATTTAACAAATGACTAATAGGGGAAGTAGCTTCAAAAAAGATGGATATAACTTAGTTCATATGACCTAATAATAATAATAATAATAATAATAATAATAATAATAATAATAATAATAATGGTAATAATAATAGTAGTACTGATAATGATAGTAATAATAATAATACTTCCTCTTTTAAACGCAAAGCAGCAGATTTAAACATGATAATGGTCTAGTATGACATTCACTCTAATCTTAACTTTTAGAATTAGATCGTAAATAGTTTGTCACTTCTAAACTGTAAAACTGTTATGGAGCATAATAAGAAAAGATAATGCTAATGACAAATATGATATTATATACAACACTATTATTCATTTATTCTAGTTCTAAAATAATTTAAAGGAAAAATCTTGGAAAAGGAAAAAAACCGAATTATTTGGACAAATTAAAAAATGTTTAAGTTTACATCCATTTTACCTCAAATAGAAATGTATGGATATAGATGAACTTCAATGACTATGAATTACAGCAATTACTAACTGAGTAGTCATCGTTTAAGTGTAAAATAAAACAGTGAATTAATTCATACAATGCAACGCATCAAAACTTAATAAACCAACTTCCTAGAAGAAGAAATGCATTGGAAGTTAATGCATAAAAATTATTTTAAATCAATTGGTGAATTTAAAAATTGATTTCCTCCTGAATGTGATAAATCTTTTAACTGAACGTTTGAATCAGTTTCCTAGATGTTTTTAATAATCCCAGGCTAAATCTACACGATAATTCGAACACAAGAGAGAAGGCACGAAATGTGAAATGAACGCTTTACTCAAAGGTTAGTTTATGAGCAGAAAATTGGAGTTATTTATAGGGTTTCAGATAGTCTCTGGAACCATACTAAATATTGTAGCAGCATAGGTAATTATCTAATCAGAAACGTTACACATGACTCTTCACTTTTTAGATGTTTCTGAGGAGCTTCTATTCAACGCTGACCAGATAAAATGTTTCCCAGAGTTCCTAAGGCCCCTCTGCACTGTTACCAGGAATACTTAAGAACTTTCCAACAAAAAACTTCCGAACCAACTAACTTCATAAAAAGATGTAAAACATAATGTAAAGACCCTGAATGCCCTGGTGCGGCCGAGGATGGGGAGAATCCGCTCTCCCTCTTGAGATGCTCTCACGTGTGCACAGCCACTGTCAGGAAAGTCCTACTCATTGCCTTTTCGTGAAGGGGATGTTTTTTGCAAAATTGGGAAGACGAGAAAAGGGATGTCTGGAGTATCAACCGGGTTGATGGACACGGAAGGTTCACCTAGGGGAGTTGGAAAACCTCAATTCTAAACCAATAGTGCACATGACCTACAGGATCCTGAGGGAAATAGTTCATGGCAATATTAGATAATTTATGTCCATATTACATTTTGTCAATAGTGAATTATTCAGTCATAAAAGCTATAAGGGTTAATTGATAGAAACAAATTTTCATCTAATTAGAAATACTTTCTTGTAAATCCACTTTGTAGACCCCTTTTATGCCTATAATTTCCAGAATTTTTGAAGATAATTATCTTCATCATGAGTAAGCATTAGACGAAGATGTGTTCTATTTAAAAGTCTCTAAAAATCTTCTACCTTGATAACTTTATATGTATTTACTAAACTCACGAAATATTATCGTTTTTAAAATAATCAAAATTGGTTTTTAAATACATATGACTTGTTTAAAGGTGTACATCCCAGTTCCACTAATGTTACTTTAAATTAATAGGTAGGCAACCAGAATTATGAGTAAATAATAAATTCGAATATTGAACCGAGAGCTGATTGAATATGAAAAACGAAATCGTATATGGATGAGTTGATTGTGCAACACACAGTAAATATTATAACACAAAATATTTCACTTTAGATTATATAGCTAATTATCAGTAACCCAGGACCTGCCGCATATATACATCGGTTCACGTTGTCATACCAAATTAATGTACGGAGGTGAATAATGAAGTAGAAGTAATATAAATGGTAGCAATAAAGATTAGGCGAAGATTATCTAGTTTGCGAAGAATTGATGAGCTCCAGGAATAGATAAGAGATAATTTCAAGCCGCAGAATTCAAAAACAAAAAATAAATAGATAGCCGTTTTCTGAGACCGACTTGGAATTTTGTCACCCATTGTCTTCAACCACTGATGACAATCTTAACTAGGTAGTTTGAACTTGCCAATATAGTTCAGACCAGCAGTCAGTGACTACATGGACTGAGGCTGGGACTTGATTTGATAGACCAAAGCTTTTTTCATCCTACTTCTATGACAGACAAGATCGAGTGTTAAGGTACGAGCTAGTTGGACATAATTAATACATGTCCCAAACACCAATTTAATTTATTATAAAGTGAGAATCATATCAAGCAAACTTGTGTGGTAAAGTATATATTACACATATATTAGGAATTATAAATTAATACATATTTTAATCAAACTTTTTATAAGGAAATATGAACATAAACTATGTAGATGAAACCCAAATACATATTTGGTGCTGTTTTACATAGACGAAAATCAAAACTCTTCACATCCGTTGTCTTGAAATAAACTATATAATTGTGTCCTTTATTTACATAAATTCAACAGACTAACTGTGGTTATATTATTATCAATAAAATTATAATAAATTCATTATAAAATAAACAATAAGATAATCTACCAACAATTTCAAATACATACCCACGTATGATTAAAATGATTTATGTAGAAATTGTTTATATTCAAAGGTGATAAATTATGTAAATCACCTCAAGATTTAAAACAGAGCAGCACGAGAAACTATATGGAACCATTCAAAAAAAACGATACACACAAATACTTAGCCAGTAGGAACCAGAAACCACAGATCAGTAGACAAATTCTGAGGTGGAGTTTTGTTTCATCCAACTGAGCTACAAATATTCTCCATTATCGCAAGTTATATTCTAGTTTAAAACCATAACTTAGTAGTTTGGTAAGTGTTAGACCAAAATAAAAGAGTTGCACAGTGATCCCTAGTTCTGAATAGTTATCAAGCTGATATCAATGAATGATGAAGACCATCTCCTAGATGAGTTAATACTCTGCTATTGTATAGACAATAGAGCATAGTCAAATGATACTACATCCTAGTGTATTGTGTTTGCTGTGAGTTTCTGAAAGTGGCTCAAAATTTCTGAACCTAATAATATTCCATTATTATTTTAAATAATCATCATATCATTGTGTTCGCTAAGTAAACCCGGTAAGAAATAGAAAGCATAAATTTTTTGTACTTAGTCTTAAAATGCAAATATATATTATATGATTTGTCTGAAAAACTGACTATTCCTACTTATTACTAGTAATAATAATCACATTAATAATAACAACAATGTCTTACAGTTCCATTGATAATTTCATTCACCGACATTAGCATATAGGAATCGTCTGGATTTACTTCAGCAAATGATGATGTCGAATTACAAGACGATGTGTTTACATATTGTTCATCACGAGAAAATATACAGTTTGAATCAGAAAAATCGCACTGAGTAGAATAGGTACGATTGAATTTAAACTTGGAACATGATTTAGCTAAATCAACTGGAGTACCATCTTAAACAAATAATCAAATCAAATTAAGCAGTAAATCATAAGGAATTATTATCTCTAAGAAACTTTTAAAGAAATTTCGGGTATATGCACTACAAATTAAAGTAATTTTAAAATGTGGACCAATTAAATCTGGCTTAGTAATTTCAGCATATGGTCTCTACCGTGAGATCTGAAAATTATGGACTCAGGAGTGAAGATGTCATGTGTTCACTGTCAAAAAGTATCGAACTACAATAAACCATTTATGTGAACCTTACTATTTTACAACGGGTTTTCTCAGTTAATGTTGTTCCCTAACTCAACTTATTCGACAAACTGTAAGAATACTATTATGATAAAATCATATTTTTTTAGTTAAGCTACATAAAATATATGTGCAACAGAAAGAAATTATACGTTGCCAAACAAAAGAGAACCATTAGTTTGTAAACTATAAATTTCAAAATGAAAATTATTTACAATTATACCTGTGGTTATTAAATGACCTTGTTTAAAATAGAATTTCTCATTAAGAACAGCATCACGTTTTAAAGCTGTTGCAATGTTTTCATCAACTTTTGAAAGTGGAATTAGTAAATTCAAATTAAATTTTAATATTGTTCTAGATAATAATAAAATAAAAGTGACAAATGCAGCATTTTCAAAATCTGTTAATTGTAATTCAGTTGGTCGAAATTCAACACGCCATCCTATTGATGAATTCAATGGTGGAGGCTTAAAACGCATTGACTGCCAATTGGTGGATTGAATAGTCTAATGAAAAAAAATAAAACGAAAGATATGTAACGTGAAATGAATGTTCAATTAGGAAAATGTTAACAGAAAAAAAACAAATACAAAACGTTTAAGCTTTTATACTTGTTGAAATTAATTAAGAAAGTAGCATAGCATTCAAAGTATTCAACTACTCTCTGATATTTAAATAAAACACAATTAATGTGAAAGTTAATAGCCTCACTATTGAAATTTCAAACAACTTCATTGACCTAAATCATTTTCTTAAGTATAATTGTAAGGATGGCTCGTTGACAAAATCAAGGAAGCCTCAAAAAGCCCAGAAAGACCCAAAGAGACTCCATCCAATCACCGCTAGAGGAACATTCTAGAATGTCGACGTGTAGCTTACCTATTGGATGAATAAGAAGGACTCCCTATGTGCCCATTGGCTGTCCGAAATGGTGATTTACTTTCAGCCAAAAAACTGTAAATACATGAGATTTTTGTACTATATTTGTCACTGTTTTGGGAATAACATTCCTTACTAGTCTTCTGTTTTCTCTCTTGAGACGTTACGGGTTCGGTCGCTCAAGTTGTCTAGTAGTGCGCGGCATAGCAGGAATCAAAGCTTTAGATATAACAGTTATGTTATAGAAAAGCCAAAACGCTTTATTCCTTGTAAATGTTTTTTAAAGGGCAAACGAGACCATTTTTTTCTAAATCACTACTCTATGTGACCATTTATTCGATAAAGTAACAATAATTCAATAAATTAAAATACTTTAGTTTCCATCACTGACTGTTCTTAATTAAAGAACTGCTGAAAAGTACGAAGCACTAAACAGCTACTTCATCTTATTATGAAACTCCTCAGAAGTGTGCATGCAAAACCACACCGAGGTTCAGACCCAAGATTTTGGGTTTGAAAGAAAGTACTTAAACTGTAGACCAATGAACTGGCGTCCAATGGTAAACATGCTTAACCCCAAGCAATGCGCGATAGTGAGCAACCATCTCCCAAAAGTAAGTAACTGGCTTACACTCTACACGACTGGAATCCGCTGATCAAGGTTTCGGACTAGAACTCTAAGAGTTACCTCTCGAAATCAACACTAGTGACATCATTATTACCATAAAAATTAAAATATATCAAAGTCAACTTAAATTAATATTCACTTTACAAACTAGCAGTTGACCGGGAAAATAGTTCAACAAGAAACTTACTTCAAAATTTTCAACTGTTTCTTCATTTTCTGGACTATTCAAGCTTTCAGAAAACACACTGATAGGATCTCGTATGAAAAGATGAGCTACATGTAATGCCAATGTATGATCAACACCTTTGTTAGTAAATGAAATATAACATAATCTCTGATTAACGTATTTCAAACTTATTATGATTTGTTATGTTTAAGTAAGAAAAGAGTTTGAACATAAATGTCTCTGACAAAAGCTTATTTTCTAAGCCTTATTCCCTTATTCATTTGGACAGTCTGTTTTAATTTACAGAACAGTAATTAAATCTTCCTACTCATAGGTTACTTTTAATTTCACCCAATAAATAATTCTTGTTCAGTACTGATGGGTTGGTGAACAATACAATGGTCCAAGCACAATATGAACATTGTTTCATCTCTTGATATCAAATTATAATTTTTCTGTGGAGTAAGCAGTTTCATTACTAATATGATATCAAATTATACTTAAGCTATTACTTTGAAATAGTCTCTAGAATTGAAAGAAAAATAATCTGTGCAAGAGCAGATTCATAAGTGGCTAAGCGGAAAATGTCAAGATCAATGGTTCAACTAATTTTGTCCTCAGTCGTCCTGAATGGCAAATTGACGTAAGTCCTCCAACCCTCTGTGAGGTTGAAAAAGCTATAGGAAATCTGAAGCGAGGGAGAGCAGCAGGCCCTGACAGGTTGACCCCTGAGATTTTTAAGGATGGTGGTCCAGTACTAGCAGTGAGATTAACTGAGGTCTTAGGTAGAATCTGGGAACTGGACGTAATTCCATCTGACTGGTCCCAATCACTGATTGTGCCAGTCTATAAGAAAGGACAAAAGTCCTCCTGTGACAATCACAGAGGGATCAGTTTGACTAATATAGTGTCTAAAATATTAGCTTCAATAATACTAGGTCGCCTAACCAAAGCTCGTGAAGAGCAGACTAGAGAAAACCAGGCTGGTTTTCGACCTGGACGTGGTTGCATAGACCAGATATTCACCCTACGTCAGGTTCTAGAACATAGACACAAATTCAGACGTCCCACAATAGTAGTATTTCTTGACCTTAAGGCGGCATTTGACTCTGTTGATCGTGAGGTTCTATGGCAATGTTTGTCACTGAAAGGAGTACCAAAGAAGTACATTAACCTCATAAAGGCTCTCTACTCGAACACAACTGGTCGAGTTAGAGCCTATGGCGAACTGTCATCAGAACTGATTACCACAAGTGGAGTTCGTCAGGGCTGTCCACTCTCCCCATTCTTGTTTAACTTTGTCATTGACATACTTTTAGAGACAGCACTTTCATCAGCTAAGCCTCCAGGAGTTGAACTCTTACCGGGAGGCTCACTTGTTGACTTAGAATACGCCGACGACATAGTTTTACTCGGTGAAGACACTGACAAAATGCAGAGTCTTCTGACCACCATAAGCAACAATGCAGGCATGTTCGGGATGCGATTCTCTCCCTCGAAATGCAAAATGTTACTTCAGGATTGGGTTGCAGCGACACCTGAACTAATGATAGGGAGTGAAGTAGTTGAGCGTGTAGACCACTTCACTTATCTTGGGAGTCTCATCAGCCCTTGTGGTCTGGTGTGTGACGAAATCTCAGCACGGATACAGAAGGCTCGTCTAGCTTTTGCCAACTTGCATCATTTGTGGCGTAGGCGAGATATCCGTCTAGCAACCAAAGGACGGGTTTACTGTGCAGCAGTTCGTTCCGTCCTACTTTATGGAAGTGAAACATGGCCGGTAAGAGTAGAGGATATTCGTAGGCTACTAGTGTTCGATCATAGGTGTCTTCGAAGCATTGCTCGTATATCCTGGGACCACCGGGTAAGTAATGCAGTTGTTAGGAAACGAGTACTAGGTAGGGATGGCAAATCGATTGATGAAGTAGTGAAACTTCATCAGTTGAGATGGCTGGGACATGTGTTACGTATGCCCGACCACCGACTGCCCCGACGTGCAATGTTTCATGGTGTAGGAGTAGGTTGGAAGAAAGCTAGGGGTGGCCAGACCAAAACGTGGCACAAATCAATGAAGTCACTGACAAGTGGACTGGGCCATGTTGGAAAGTGTAGACTACCTGGTTGGGATTCGCGAGATGATAGCAACCGATGGTTAGAGACCTTGAATGACATGGCTCAAAATCGTTTGCAATGGCGAAGATGCATCCACTCTTTGTGTTCTACCAAATTGTAATCTTCTGAATTTCTCATGTCTTTATGTTTTTCTCCTTCCAAATATATTTCACTGTACTATACTCCTTCAATAACATCTTCAAACTCTAATCTTTCCGATTACTGCTTATACTCTTACTAATTCTTCCACTATGGGATTTGAATCGACAACTGCATCTGTGTGCTAATGTGGTATGGCAACTCGAACTGATGTACGTACGTACGAAGTTCTACGTTGTGACTGACTGACTGACTGAATTTTGTCCTCAAACATACGTGCTCAAACCTACGAGATGACGAAACACAGGGTTCAAAAACTTTTCATCACTAGGATCGTATAAAGATATGAATAGTTAGACATATGGAATGTATTATAAGAAATTTAAAAATCGATTCATGGGGCGATTCGGTGATACCCCACAGACTTGAGAATAGTGTTTTTCAAAAGAAACTATCAAGCTTGTTAAAAATTTAATCTTAAAGTAATGAATATGACAAAGGATACCAGAGATACTCCTCTGTGTGCAATTCATTTATTCAAAGGTAGGGTTTAAACCTATCATCCTGTGGTTAGAAGCTGAGTCCATTAGCCATTAGACAATCTATTCCCTACATTAAATGAAGGTAGCATGGATAAAAAAAGAAATTGACTAGATCATAAAAGATTTACAACGCTAAAGTAACAATTATAGATTACTTTCTGTACACTAACTTGCCTCCTTCAATTAAAGTATTATAATAATCTTTATTATAAACAAGTGGAATGTCATTGAATTTAGCGCCCATTGAGGAAAGGTAAAAAGAAACTGATGCAAAGCGTGATTTAGGAATAACAAATTGATCGTTGCAGAGAGGCTGAAAATAAGAGAGAAAGAAGAAAAGGAATGACAAAAAAAGTTATATGGGAGAAAATATTTCTTTTTGATGGAGTTTTGTTCTCTGAGCTGGATGGTTTGGTCGTGAAGCTTTCATTGTTCTCCTGAACGATATCATCAGCACCCGAAGTTTGTGCAGATGATATCGTTCAGAAGAACGATGAAAGCTTCATGACCGAACCATCCAGCTCACAGAACAAAAGTATAAAAACCATCCACCTGAGCTACAAATCTTCTCCACCATCTCAATAAAATAGTTCTTAACTTAGCTTTATGTACAAACAAACAATCATAAATATAGTGATGTTTGGTAAAATCATTCAGATTATCCGAACAAAATGTTTGAGAAGGAAACTTACAAGGGTGGACAATCCAGCTTCAATCGCACTTGTTAAAGTATAATTTTTACAGAAATTGTCAGCAATTTGTAATTTAGTGTTATTCAATGACACTTTAGTCCGTCAGTGATATGCAACGTAGAGCCCAACACATGTGCATCGGCTTAAGTTGCAAAGCCCTATTAGTACAGAAAGCTAACATTACCAAGACAAATGTCAGAGTAGTAGAAGTAGTGACAGTATTAATAGTATTAGGCGATTTCGGGACTCAAGATCTAGGGGAAGACAAAGAGTGGATGTACCTGGGCCGTAGCAAACAATTCTGCCCCTTATTAAGTTTTTAACAATTACTTTTAAAAAACACGTGCACTCATCTGAATTGCTCAGTTCACTCTTCAATGACCACACGGACTGATGCTACGTTTTCGCTTGGCCGCCCCTATCCTTTTTCTAGCTTACTCCTACAACCGGTTAGCATCGCCTGTCGGGGTAAAACATAGAAGCTTAATACTATGATAAAAACTTATTCTATATATAACTTCGAATGGAATGGAGGAGTATTGCACCAATTGATGAAAAGGATGGATATTTTCTCGTCCTTCCATGCACTAATGTATATCTTCTATTATGTTTGCGATAATTTCAATTAATAAATGGTTTTTTCTACGATTTATAATGTGTTTGTTCTCCGTTGTATGTTTGTGTAAACAAATAACTGTAAACTAAGCATTTTCAGAATGGTTATCACGATAATTCAGTTAGTATGAAAAATAGCTCAAAATTAGTTACATTGTCTAGAGTACACAAATTCAACTTCGATTTTAATATCATTTCGATGAGTTTATTCCCTTAGACTTCATTCTTTTTTAACTAAATTCTATGTTTAGTGCTTTTTTACTATCGTTGATATTATATCGACTCCTTCCTATTCATTTTGTTAATTTTATCTAGATACAATTAAATGGCATAGAAACTTTGAATGATGAGTTATTTGTTCAAAGTTCTACTTTGATTGTAGTTGACTGGTGCTTTATCGAAGTTATGTTCAATAAACCCTGTATTATTCTTTATGTGCACCGCATTTCTAAATGATAAACATGAACAAAAATTAAACCTTGATTCCTCTCTCCTCTTCTGTTCGATCATCAACTGATGCGGATATGATACCCCAACGGCAGTCCCAATCCAGTAAGTAGCCTCGGATGGCAGGAGTGGCTGCGCTTAAAGCCATAACAATTGGGCACATTGTTGCTAGCTGATCGTATAAGATCCTGGCTTCATCAATGCAACATGCCTATAATTCGAAAGTAGAATAATTGATAGACAGAAAATGATGTAATAACGTGGAGTAGAATATCAAACATTTAGCATAGTACATCCATATTACACATAACAGTTCGATACTCTTAGTGAAACCGATGTAAATGATTCAGTTATGCAGTAAATTCGCTAACTGTTTACTGCCCCATTGTCTAATAATCTAATGACGTAACTTTAATCGTAGCGTAGGGAACAAGAACACGAGTGTGGACAATCGAATGTATTTAAGCACAAATTACAGACTATCTCACTAAAATCTGACAACCATACAGTAAACAGTTAATTTGCAAATTATCAATCAATCATGATCATTCCAGTCCATCTTCTCTGATTTCATTGTTCATGCATTTTCATACCACTTGCGTTTCGTTTCGGTTCTTTCATTATCAATCTTCTAGTGAAATAAATTCTATGCCTGACCACCATCATATACTACTTATGTGGGTATAAGTAACCCACACCACAGTAGTAATTATTTTATTAAAATCTAACTCAACTTCTACATTAAGCTGTTAACAAAACTTATTTGTTAAAATAAAACTGTTAATGACTTCAAGATAGGTAAATTGATTTTCATCAAAAATTTTAACATTCTTGTAATCAGTAGAATAATTTATCTAGGTTATATATACTGTTATGTGAAATACCACGTGAAAAAGCTCATGGTCAATAATAAAAGGTTAGGTCATAGAAGCTGAATAATAAATAAAGCACTTGGATCAGATAATAAACAAATTAAACAAAATATATAATCAAAACAATTATGAATACGAAAGTTTTCACAAATAAAGTAATAGGTTAATACAGAATCACTTCAGGAATCCGAAGATTGGCAAAGCAAGGGCAGCATTCCTACGATTCAAAAATATCTGGAACTCAAAACAACTGCCAGCCAACATCAAAGTTAGAATTTTCCATGTAAACATCAAGACAGTTTGATTGTATGTAGCTGAAATGTGAATAGCTACTACAACTATCCTCAAAAAGGTATAGGTTTTTATAAACAGTTAACTACGCAAGATATTCCATATCCGTCAGTCGTACACTATCAGCAGCAACCTACTGTAGCAAGAAACAAACCAGCTTTCAGCTGAAGATGAAGTTAAGAGAAGATTTTGGAGGTCGGTAGGACGAACATTGTGAAAATCAACAAAGTGCAAAAATCAAAAGAATGAATAGGATATGGGGACAACTGAAAAGGAGAGCACAGGGCCGAGTTGGTTGGAAAATCCTGGTCAGCGGCCTATGCTTCACAAGGGATAACAGGCATAAGTACTATGAATAATTTCCATTAAATTAATTCCTCTTAAAGACTAGACTAATATTAGAAGTTTCGAAGGTCAACATTGAACGTAAAAATATAGATTAGATAAAACTGCCTCAATGTTCAATGTTTCTTTACTTTCAAAATATTTTTTCTTTTATGAATGGCCAAGTAATGTAAATTTATGAATGATCAAAAGATCAACATGAGAATTAGTTGAATTGTCCAATAAATACGAATGTTGGATAAAATAAAAACTGAGATACTTATCCTAGACACACAAAATTAATATGTTCCTATATATTCTTATTTAAAAGAATTATACTGTGAAAGAAGCGTAAATCAAGTCCTATTTTGTTTGAATGGTTGACTCTGACTAAACTACTTGAAAATGCTTCATACACTGAAATTTTCATGGAATATAAAACAATACCTCAACCTTTATGGAAGTTTAACACACCGATAATTAATGAGCTATATGTGATTTCACATTGTTCAAAGTATCACCAAAATCACTATTCATAAATATTTATATACATATATAAATCACTGAAACTGCGTAGATCATATCTTCTTTATAATGACTTTACGATACACACAAATTACTGCATTCAGTTGACAATAAATTACTAATTAAAGACCTATATGCTATTATTCCTACTATGTTTATTCATGATGAAAACAAAAATAATATCTAATATGTCTGGTTTTAGTATCTACTGACCATAGAAAAAAAAACAAGGTCAAAAGTGCAACCGAACTATATTGCTTTTAATTTGTAGACATTCCACTGAAACAAAAAGTGTGTAAACTAGTGATAACTAAAGGAGAATATAAACCCACTAATGAAAGATCACGAAATTAATTTTACTATTCGACTACGTACATTTAAACTGAAGCAGACGCTAGTCTAAAGAGATGCTTGGGTATATCTTCGACTTGAAAGTACAGGACATAAGTAAAAAGCATTTTTGTAGCAGATAACAAACACCATTATTTTTTGGCTGCCTGCCTCGTTAGCACATTGCAGCCCATGGTTAATATTCATTTGAAAAGCAATTTTTCGGTCAATATCCAACAACTCAATGGTTATTTTTCACAAGCGTTGTTAAGAGAATATCAGAAGGTTTCTTGGATGATCGTAGTATGCAGTGTTTTTTAACCAAAGAGTTATAAGACGTCAGCATTATGCTCTGTAATCTGAATTTGGAAGAAAACTGACCTAATAACTCATTGCATTAATGTTGAGCCATGTGAATGATTTCCGTATTTAGTTCGGAAAGTGATAAGTCTTGCTAATTGAACGCTATACTCTGACCCTAAGCTAGTCTTGTAACCTCCAAGCTAAATCTACACAGCGACTTGAACACGAGAGAAAAGGCGCAAAATATGCGATAAGCACTTTACTCCAAAGGTTCCTTTATGTACAGAAAATACGGGATTTTTATAGTCCTCGGGTTTTCCTGAAAATTCTAGAATGCTGCTAAACATAGTAGCAGTGTAGTAATCAGCCAATCAGAAGCTCTACATGTGACTTTTCATTTTCGCGATGTTTCTAGCAGAACTTCTAGTCAAACGCTGATTAGATAAAATGCTTCTCAATGTTTTCTGAGCTTGCCATGTTTATTGCGAGAAATTTTCAGGATCGCCCCAACAGAAAGAGATGGAGGATGTACACTACTAATAACCAGAAACCGTAAAGAAATAGATGCCCCTAGAAATCTTTATTATCAGTGATTTGGTTTCAGTCTCAGATGTACACTATCCTTTAAGTTACGAAAATTCAAAAAATAGTATTTAAACCATTCACTGCATAATTTTTAAATTTGTTTGTATGTATGTAGCAGTTTTACCAAATTCTTCCTAAAATTCGTAATAATTACACTTCCATTTATAAAAACTATTAATTAAGTGGATGACCCAAAGTTATTATTAATTATAGTTCTACGTAAATTTTACGGTAAAGTTTTGATATTCTATTCCGTTACACCCTAATAACTTTTAAAAACTGCATATATTCACCCTTGTTTTTTAATTTTTTTTCTTGATAAGTTACCCTTTTATTATGTTACATTATTTTAGTCTTCTACGGTTGCTCTATAAAGAGTATTTGACTTTCCTCTTTTTTCTGCCCTAAAGTATCAGAGTGTTGATCCACAAGTTCTGGTACGTCAAATGTTTGATCTCCGATAGAAGCATGAGAATGTGAAAACTGAATTTACACACTGAACTTTGTGTTAGCATCGAAAACCTCTTACGTTTTATGACCGAAATAAAACAAAATTTAACAGTTTTCATATATCATTCAGTGGTATAATATGTTGGGTACGCTTCAGTCAGAAACAAAGAAATGTAGTTCTTAACAAATCCTGCAGAAATTAATAACTCACACCTATTGTGAAACAGTTAGTAATACTACTTAAATTTAAAAAACATATGTGCATGGTTTGATTCATTTACTAATTCACTGATATTGAAGTGTCTAAATCAATAAGGCACAACTTTATGTAATGACAGACAAATCACGACTTCAAGTAGAATAGGATATTTTCAAGTTAAATTAAATCGTGACAAGAAATACTTTTTTAAACCAGAGAAAACATACCTGGAAAGTGATCTGTAAACAGCTACAACCCATTCCGAAGCCCATAGCATCTAAATAAATATGATTCGGTAAAGCTGCAAACGTTGAAGTGGGATCATTTTGATTTGGGAAATTTTCAATAAATGGCTGAGGTGTACATATATCTCGATAAACTAAAATCGTTTTATTGAGAAAGTCAAATGTTATTTAAAGCAATTAGTCCCTTTGATAAATTTCGATAATGTAATAAGAAGACGAAGATTATCAGAACTATGTGATATATTAGCGCAATACATTTCGAACAATCTGATCACACATATACTTGTTAAGAACATTTATATATAAAAATAAAAGGTCAACTAGACTGGTAATAAGGTTAAGAAATAGACAAGGATAATAATGATAAAATAATGTGAAAACAACTTGACACCTAATCACTCTGGATAATAAGTATTTATTACCAGGGTAGGTTTATATTTTATGATATATTTATTTATTTATTTTATTTTTTATATATAAATGTTCTTAACAAGTATATGTGTGATCAGATTGTTCGAAATGTATTGCGCTAATATATCACATAGTTCTGATAATCTTCGTCTTCTTATTACATTATCAAATGTTATTATACAAAAGAACATATCTGAACGTCAAAACAATGAATAGGTACATGTAATTAAGAAATCAATACATCAGACACTGAAGACTAAAAAATTCTTTAAAACAATACATCAAAAAAGCTCACAATTTATACATGAAGAAAAGTGGAGGGCTCCATGAAGTTGAAAAAACTTTTATACGCAAATACTATTGATTTATATTATTTGTTTGTCGCTTTTCTTCATATCTGTCAAATGGATTATTATTTGACCCATAAATTATTTTCTTCCTTACCCCTTGATTAGTACGTAACCTCATTTGTTATATATTGTCGAATCAATTCATATTATTTAAATTATTTATTTATAAAATGTGATCATGAGTCTCAATTAATAAATAATAAATAAATAAATAAATAACTAGTAATTGATTTTTTATAATCATTGTAGATGGGATGGTTTTTTTAACTTATAACTTGATATAAAAGACAATATCAAGCCAATCCGAACAGGGCTGATCAATTTCAGTCCTAAACATCAATCGAAGGATTCAAACAAACAATGCAAAATGAATGTAAATGAATATTTTATAATAATCCCTATGAACACAAACATATCTTATTCTTTAATATAATTGATTCAATATACAATCAACAATCAACACATAGAATATAAAGCTCACTAAACAATTAAATTTTATTAAATACTATTTATAGTTATTTTTCGAGAAACTCAGTGTTAAATGTTTTCAAACAAAACTAGAATAAATTAAAAATGAGGAAGTTGGTTTTTTCACAAGTAAATTCAAATTTTATCATAAACAAGTATAAACAACTGTTTGTTTTAATGTGGTTGCTGAAAACTCATTGATCATAGGTATTAGCAAATTCATTTCAATTTATTTTAGAAATATATAAAATTTCAGTATTGTTTATCAAAGATTTGAAGATCATCAGAAACGCTAAAATACAAGCTTAATCAGAACGAAAATCCTGAATATTTTTTAATCTAGACAAATAACAGAATGGATCATTATGTTTCGAGCAGATTTTATGTGGGGTTTATGGAGGTTAGATAATCACTTCAATATTTTGTTCATCCTACAACAATAATAGTAATCTGACTAAGCATAGGTTTATGTTCTTGAAGTTGGGCCACATTATTTGTATGAGAGATAATGATATTACATGGGACCTCAAACTAAATCAGGGTAGGGTGGGGTTTAAAGCACAGATGTACTAGTTAAAAGTCAGATGGATTTAGCAGTTAGGCAGCCACTCACTGTATTTTGTAATTCTCCATTTAATAACTACAAACAATGCTAGAAAATGAATCAACGATTAATTCAACCAGATCCGACTTAAAAGCTATCCTGATCGAATGGAATTTGGTATTAGACATATCATACGTCTAAATTGATTATGATATTTTAAAAAAAACTTCTTGCGACTGTTAGAACTTGGAAGAAAAGAGTCCAGAGATTTGATCAAGAAATAATTATGTAAGTCACTCTCAATCACTGTATAGAAGGGAAAGAAATAACAGTACTCAATTTTCAGATGTCAGACTTGTGTAGAAGTTGGAACTTTAAAACAAGGTATGCACAAAACTTGAGGTCAACTTGACAGTGTGGCTCACAATCGCAAAGAAAAATCTATGAATCACCTCACCTATTAACCAAAATCCATCTGCCCTCATGATAGTATTAAAGAACAGCTAAAAACTATTCATAACTAACATAAGAATACATTTCCAGCAAAGTTAATCAACAAGTACATAAAACACATAGATGAGACCCAAAATAACAGCAGTTTTAAGCATAGAACTATCTTTAAAATTGAAATTTAGAATTGAGGTCTCCAATATGATTAAAATGCAATGAGTAAGAAAAACTCAGATTCAATGGATTCAATCTATATACATTACATTACAATCGTCCGATTTTAGCAACCGCATAAGTCTACTCCTTTTATGTAAAGTCTGTCTTAGTGGGCGTACAGTAAAGCAAGTATACCATCCATTATCTGAACATCAACTGCAATAGTTAGACAGACATAAACTAAGATTAGTTTAGATTACTAAGCTTTTCTAACTTTAAAAGTTGAAATTAAAGAAAGGTTAGCATCATTCACTCGAATTTCTATGTTCCTAATGAAATAATAAGCAGACTTAATATATACTTGGTAAATAAATCATTCTTATTCGTCCGATATGCACTGGCGACACTTGCTGTCTAGCATTATCAGATTGAACTGAATTGCTCAGTTAATATTCTTATTTGCGTTTCCAATTAAATATCCACATGTATTCCCAATGTACGTAATTGACAAATAGAAATGATTTATGTGTGAGCATAGATTGTGAACTGACATTTCTTTAATAAATATTACAAAGATTTGACGTTAAATGTATAATTATCATACATACATCAAATCGACTCTCAAATAAACCACTTACTGGGAACATTTATAGCAACTTTAGTCCCACGCCGTTCACGAATGTTACGCGTTAGCGTTCTAGAAAGAAAAGAAAACGTGAAGTGGTAGACAAAATATTTTTAAACGTTATATTATTCTACTCAACATTAGATCAAATAAAAATGATACCACTGTATAGTATTCATAAGATAAGGATCTTAAGTGTGAATGAATAAAGATTAATTTTGTCGATGAATAAGTGAAACAAATATTTTCCGGTGGACAGAGTAACGTTTAGCACAAACCGAATGAAATTGTTGAGTGTTTGTTAGGACTGTTTAAAAAAACGAAAGTTTTTAGAATGTCATCCTTAAGTCTAAACTTAAAACCAATAAAAACGGTCCAGATTGATCTCTTCTTCGTTTCTTTGAAAATTTGTTATTAATTTCATATATTTGCCCCCTGCAATCCCACTTAATTATGACTTATTCTTGATTAATTTTAAAACTTTTCCCTACTTATAGGTTGTTCCTGTTTGTTTTTCAGAAAGAGATGAAGTATTATGTTCTTCAGTTCATCTATATTGGCACGTAAAGTGTACGAACATGTTAGGTTGAGTAGAGGATTTTAAGTATTTATTGGTTATTAAATCACAATCCCATTAAACATTTCATGCATTTGGTTTCCATTGAAAAAAAAACTAATATTCAAATTACAATCCATTTACATTTACATAAAAAAGTCATTACTGGTGAGAAAACCAACAATTTTAAAATCACAGTAAAAGTTAAGTCTTCTAGAGACATCTTATTATTCTAATAAATTGATACTGGTTAAAGTAGAAATACGTTTTTAATCTGGAACATAAAAAATGTAAGAGCTTTACAATGTGGTGATTCGTATCCGAGTGATGTGTGATTTGATGTCGTAATTCAATTTAAACAGTGAATAGATAATCATGACTTAAATCGCGGCAAAGGATAACGTTGTAACGATTGTCCACAGATCGATAAGCAGTTCCCAGTTATTTTACGATACCAAGTGTTCATGCCTTTGAAACTACATTTTTAAATAAATTAACAACAATAATTACACTGTTCTTTGCGATAAATGATACTTAAGTGAGGGATTTGTAGGGAGCTGTACAAAAATAAGCTGTATTACGGCATATATATATATATATATTCTGGAAATTACATGAATATTATCAAACCTTGAGTACATAGCTAATATATTCAGTAGACTCCCTACTCCGAGATATGTAGGCCAGATTCCGTAAGGAACGGTAGTGTACAGACGAAATCGCGACACTACAAATCATTGTTCAAATGAATCCGATAAAATTCGTCACTGTACTTCAGCTTCCTCGACTATGCGACGTTTGGCAGCGTAGATAGGAGGACCTCATGGAACCTTCGACACTATGTAGTGAATAGGTGAGAAAATCGTCAACATCATACGGAATTCGTATACCGGACTGCACTGCTAAGTTGTGCATGGAGGACAGCTGACAGATGCATTCGTGGTGAGGATCGATGTCAGACAAGGCTGTCTACTCTCTCCCTTCCTCTTTCTTCTGGTGGTTGACGGGATTATGAAGACCTCGACATCGGAGGGGAGGACAGCTGACAGATGCATTCGTGGTGAGGATCGATGTAATGATTTGGAGTCAATAGAATGTTTTCTTAATAGTTATTTATTACTATATTTGTGATTAAACACTTTTTAAAAATCCTAACCGTGTAAAAACAAGATGTAATTTTATTACTGTCCACATGGATATTAACATCTAGGACTATTAAACAGTTAAACTGATCTAGTAAGGTGTAATATTCGGGTTATTCACGCAGAATAAGTTTACGTATGTATGTGATAATAACGAGTTAAAAATCTTACAAATTATGTAACAACTGCTCAGCTCACATAAACAGCTAATTATATTGACTAAAAATGAGTTAAACAACTACTTATTGCTTCCATAAGTTTGACGCAGTTATTTTAAGAATAAACTTGTTATCCGAATACAACAATTGTTTTGATATTATTTTTAACAACACTAATAAAAAGCTCGATGGAATTTGTCATGAATTAAATATAAATTAAGCTTACTTAAAACGTGGATGTCCCTGAGTAATAGCTGCATCTGGAAAAAACAAACTTCTGGAAGCACCACTATCAGGAGTTGGTTTGACAACTGGATAGCAAAAGTCATCACAACCCAATCTAAATCGTAAGGCATAATGAACATAATAAATATTTGGTGATAAATGTTTTTTCTGGAAAGTAGCAGAGAGGAAATCACATAAAGAAAGTGCTTGAAATCAATTAATAATAAAAAATTAACCAAAACAGTACAACAATCTGTAACTCTTTTTTGTATTTAGAAGCTAAGGATAGAAACCTTATTTATATCGCATACTTTGACATTAGTATGAATGTAAACCTATGAAACCATCCAGCAAATATTTATTTACAACAGTAAAGTCTGTAACTTGTAAGCATTTACAGATCTATTGCATAATTTCTAATTATACCGTTATGAATGTGGTAGAACCTTTACGTGGATTAACTGTACATGATTATTTGAATTTTATTGGTAAGCAATTCGATAGTGAATTTGAAGCCCAAAAAGATTTGAAACAGAGACAAGATAACACGTGACATACTCTGAACTCTCAAGCATATGATTTAAGCTGCCCATGTTTTTAACTGGTAGAATCATTGGGATGGAGATTAGTGATAACTATTTTTTATATGTATTCAACATCTGATGACACGAGCTTGTCCTACTTTTTAATATTTATCTTCAGTTCAAATTTAATTCCGTAAATCATGATTTTCACTAGAAATCCAACAATTTACTCCCATATTCACTCTGTAATGAATTTTAAGTCGCTATTTAAATTGATGACTAAGGATTGAGTTATTTGCTAATATTTATCATCGGCGGAAATCGGTTGAAAAACACGGGCATTAAAATTATTGTTTGATGAATTTCGAATAAAAAATTCAAAGTTTTAGGATCCTACCCCTGCCAAGAAAGCCAACTCAGTAAACATGAACACGCGTTCGTAAACAGGTGACAAGAACAAATAATTATGACATTTGAATAAAAGGTAGATAAAGTCTATCTATATGGACAAGATATCATACAAAATTCTCTGTTAATCACCGACATCAAAGCAGTAAAAACAAACTTGACCAGATAAAATGAATCAATTTAATTTTGTTAGATACATTTAGCTACAATCAACCCAAAGTATGCATAGAATCAATCAAATAAGAACGTGGGTTTTTTGCTGTTGAATACAACAAACACAATAGTCGTCGCAGTTGGATGAAACAAAAAGATAACAACATTAGATTTTGACAGCTCAACAAAGTTACCTAAACATCAGTAAACGAAAAAGAGAGTCCCCAAATGCCCTGGTACGGCCGAGAGTGGGGAGAGTCCGCTCTCTCTCTCTCTCGAAATGCTCTCACATGGCCACGCATATATAACCTCTGTCAGGGAAGTCTTACTCACTGCCTTCTCGCGGCGAGGCTGTTGTTAACGAAATTGAGAGGACGAAAAGCGAATGTCCGACGCTTTAACCGGGTTAGTGGACACGGAAAGTCCACCTAGGGGAGTTGGAAAACCCTAATTCCAAACTAATGGTACACATGGGCACCAGGACCCTGTTATTTTTATTTATTTATTTAAACACATATATATTGGTACAAAAGGGCACCAGATACATATGCGCCACACCCTGAGGGACAAAATAGTGTATGAACCTATTGTTGATAACCGGCTAACATGGGGCTGGATCTCCTCACGATGCTCCACTGCCTTGTGGATCAGACCTTTAGGTCAAAGGCTCCGGGTGTGGTCCCCTAAGAAAACCACCTGTTTCGGTTTGGGCACCTGGTCAGCATCACAGTCCTCACGCAAATCAAATATATATCTGGCGCCCCCTTGCACCAATATTTGTTTAAATAAAATAAATAAACCATAAAAGATGCGAAAACTTCGCAAACGATTTCACGCTAGTATTGGTTTATGAGTTTATTATTCATTTAGACACTGTTGAACAACATTTCGTCATTTGTAAAGTTTTTGATTTATTCGTACTAAAAATTTATTTTACTCAGCGTCAGAAACACGTTCCCATTTCACTAGTTTTGTTATGTGCGGACGGAGAATAATGATTGGTAACCGCTAGGATCTATTCATGGACTGTTACTAAATATATTCTTACTGTATAACTTGAGTAACTAAATGTATATTCATATTCCTTTTATTATAAGCTTCTATTTGACCTATTGACCATTTTTACTGTCATTGGTCTGGTCAGTAAGTCGGTGTTCTAATTGGCGATCTTATCACGTGATAATTAGCAGGCTATAAGAACATAACAAGTTTTGTACAGATTTCAGCTTCATTGAGAATAAATACAAGTAATCAAATAAAACGGACCCATTTACTTTTCTAATATTTTGTTTGTTCGCTTTACTATGGATATTTTCGAGAAAAATACATACCTTGGAAAGGCTGATATTGTCAATGCAATGCAATCTTCGGGAAGATTCGCCACTAAATCTAATCGTCTTTTCTTCATGTTGCACTCGACAGTCTTAAAAGCATCCAATAGTCGTCCAAAAGGAATTCTAGGTACTCCTTCTATCATATATTCAGCATACTCGGGTTGCCAAGTTATTTCATCACTGAAATAATTTGAAACGTCATTTTATTATACACAAAATACAGGATTACAACTACCAAAACACTGTTGATATTATTATCGTGATGTAGATAACTAGTAGGCAACAAAGCTTAAACAAAACTTTTGTCGGACATCAAATCCCACGTACTTTAAACATATTACATCACAAGTTAAAGTAAATCCTTCTTCAGGACGGCCACGTTAATATGAGTGGGTTAATATTCATCCAAAGGGAGTTAAATACGTGAAGGTTTGAAAAATATTATTCCTTCTATACAGACCTCCTGACCTTTAAGCTCTAATCAGTTCACTTCTGTTTCTACATTCTTTTTGATTACATTTCAATTTTTAGTTTATCTAATCATGTCAAGTATATAATTTCCAAAATCACTGACCATCTAATTTTAAAGTCATCGATGATGAATATCCAGGTTTTGAACAACCACACTTCCAGCCTCTTTATGAGAAAATTTCGAGCCTGAGTTTATTTTTCTCCTTTGCTAGTATGTTGTTACCAGCATTTACTGGTTATTACCACGGAAAAAGTTATATATTCGCAACTGTATAAGTTTGAGAATTAATTCACACAACAACTTTCTCTTATAAGCACAATCAAAATGTTTGCATGTTATATACATGTAAAAATGTTTGGTGGTTGTGTAATAAAATAGACCAGGAAATACGACTAATATAGGTAGTTCAAACATGAGATGGCAAAGTAAATGTTACTTTCAATCTATGGGTTGTAAAAATAAACCCACTCTATTTACTATGGTTTGAGTGAACGCAATAAATGTGAGCTACAGTCAACTTCCTAAACCCATATGTGGATACTAAATTAGGATATCACATTCTAAGGTCGAACGTTACACATATGACAGGCTTTTTGTATCTCACAGAATGATCAATTTACTTCCATTAGAATTCTTGTTATTTTATTTATTTATTTGGACACATAAACATTGGTACAAGAGGGCACCAAATATATATGCGCCACACAATAACAATGTGGTTAATAGTAGTTATTGTATTAGGGCTATGATACTGCCCGGACGCTAAAACCGAAGCATGTGGTTTTCTTAGAGCACTACTCCTAGAGCCTCTGACCAACAGGTCTAGTCCACAATGCAGTGGAAAAACGTAAAGAGATCCAGCCCCATGGTAGCCGGTTACCAACAATAGGTTCATACACCATTTGTTCCCTCAGGGTCCTGGAGCCCATGCATACCATTAGTTTGGAATAAGGGTTTTTCAACTCCCCTAGGTGGATCTTCTGTGTCTACCAACCCGGTTAGAAAGCAAGACATTAGCCACGAAAAGGCAGTGAGTAGGGATTCCCCGACAGTGAGCTTTATGTTGATGAGCGAACAAAACAAGGTATTTAGACCGAATCACAAACGCGATGGTTAAATGTTTACTGGGTCAAATGAAGAGAATTATTGAGAGGAGTAGATCTGAAACTTAAGGATTAGTTGAGTAGTGTAGTGAAGTGAAGAAAATGTTTAGCCCAAGACATTTATGACCTTACTACTTAAACTATAATCATTTGTTACGGAAAAAAAATATAAATAAAATAACTGTAACCCTTAAGCTGATGCGTAAGTTTGAATCATTAAGAACGTACCTGATATCACTTTTCTTTTCCTTCATCAGCTTTAACAACTCCGAAGCACCAAGATAGAGTTGTGCTGCATGTGTCGAAGGGTCAATGCGAACCAATGTGTACTCAATCTCATCACCCCATTTCAGTGTATGTTTCATCCGTGAATTCAGTTTGTGATACAATAATAAGAACTCCTTGATACCCTGTTCTTGAATGAACGACGCAATTTTCTTAGTTTCAGGCCAGTTTAGTGGTGATCCGATTGTTAACAAACCCATACTGTACGGAAATATATTAGTCACAGTTAGTGTTCTGGACATAGATTTAAATACAGGGTGACGAAGGATTTTTATGTGCGGTCGAACGAGAAAACGTTTTTGAGATAATACACAAACGTTTACTAAGTGGGATTAGTGAACTAAACCTCAATCCTAGTCAGTGACAGTTACTTACCGAAACTTATAAAAATTAGATTCAATTCACTAAGGGACCATTCACATTAAGAAAAGTACAAGTATGTAATCTTTTCACAGGAGATTTATCACAGGTTAAAACGAACTGCTGTAGGTCGACAACGACACACACGGTCAATGGCCATTATAAAGTTAGTCATACTTCCATATATTTATCGTGATAATTATGGCACGCCTGAATGTGGCTTAAAAGTCGCCTTTAAATATACTTTACGTCCTGTCAAACTCTACGAAACGGTGAAGTTTTGAGATCAGCAAGCTGGTTTACTTACATTTCACAGAAGTTCTTGTTAAATAACAACCAAGAGTTTTCACATATAACCACCGAGTAAAATATTGCCTTTTGAGGGGTGGGGAATTACGGTTAAAGACACTAATCTCCATAGCAGGAAAATATTAATTTCACAAGTTATTTTAATAGGTCGATGCATATTAGATATTCCAAAACAAACTACATGAATCTGGATTCACCAGGTGTGCAAAAGAACAAAAGATTATTTCAATAAAACTAGACCACATACGCTACATAAGAAAACTCCCTTGAAACCTTCAGAGGAATCTCACCTATTATGTTATTAATAATCAAAAAGTCACAAATTTGGATACTATGTAAAACCTTATTGGTAGTGAATAAGTCTTTGGAGCAGAAGTAAATATCTAGTTATTAACTGAACTCAAACTCAAATTCCCTTTCACACCAACCCCTTGATCACCTATTATTAGGCTGAAATTGTTGGCCAAATTACTAGCAAATATGTGTAGTCATTTTAAATTACTGAAGTATTAGCAAACAAGGACACAGACGTAACCTTAAATATCTGACAATTATTTTATTTGATTTAACTAACGAAAATACTTTAAAACAAATTATTTGATACCAATGTATTATTCCAGTTTTTATAAACACAGAGTGGACGTATCACAACATAAGCTTACTTTGGAATCTGTCAGATGAAGAAATGAACTAGTGACCGTGTAACCTACTTTATAAGTTTGCCAGATTTAACAGCTTAGTTCCTATTGGTTGATTTTCGTCGGCTGCCGTGATAAATGTATTCAATCTCCAAACTTTGAACTTTATCGACCAGATATAATAAATAGCTAGTTCCTTGGGATTTTTGTCCGAGTTGTTGGATACAGATTTTCATAATGGATAGATTTGAATACTTCTTTGATTTTTCGCAAATATAAGGTAACGAAAATTTTATTTAAAAGTATAATAATCTATAGTGGTGAGCATATAATGACAACGAACCCCGGCTGAAGTTACTATAACTCCTTCGACAATAATCGCTTCAAATCTACCCAAAAGGCTGTCAATTCATACAATATATACATCTGTTATTTCTATCAGCCACAGAGACCTACTACGATCATTATTCATCATACTTAAATTCTACCAAGATTTACCAAACTGTCTTTTGCATATAATAGAAATGCCTTGTCATAGTTTATCTTCGTATTATTCCTAATTACTTGTATTAACATCTTATTTTTCGCTCGCTTAATCACATTGTAAACACAAGTTACATTTTATGTGCTCATGTTGGCTAATTATGAATTACGTTCTACAATCATTGCTCACATACACAATAGATGCATTTTATATTTACTTAGAGGACAATATTCCAGTATTACATAATTACCCCTCAGATATCATTGCGCAGCAACTAAAACAGTGTTTTTACCTTCATCATCTGCTAGGCGTACTTTTTGAGCGTGGTTTGTTCTCGAAAATATCTAACTTTTGGCTTCTGTTTCCTGGGTCGGAATTAGTTGTAGTGGAGTGCATAATTTCCTTTTGACACATCAGTGAATTTGTTTGTATGTTCATCTTTGTCCGCATTAAGCATCCAAAAACTGACTCCTATATATTTATTTCCCTGTCTGCACGTTTGTATACCATAATCCATAGGCTTGTTGTTCGTCCATCTACTCGAGTGTACTTAATGTGTTCATCATCGAATATAAAAGGTGAGTGATGCCAAGTAACTGCCTTTTGACTAAAAATAGTTTAATACCACTCTACATTTCCTATCCCACTTTACTGCCTGTCCCCTTACACAAGAATGCTTAAAATAAAATTATCCCAACACATTAGTTCTCTGGCTCTTAACACCACCGTCACACGATGGGATCGGCTAATATAAAATGTATGAAACTAAACAAGGGATCTGTACTTTGTGATTAATTCATTATTTAAACGAATCCAGCACAGTACCTTACTTCTCCTACATAATAGGGTCAACTTGTGAATCTCAGGCTTTTCTGCCTAACTTGGAATGCATTGCCTCCAACAACCATTATCAATATCTACTTTACTTGAAATCGGATTATCACTCGCAAGGTGTCTAGAAACTAGTATTGTCTGGATCCACTTCAAAAAGACCTAGAGTAGCCCCATTTACCGCCCCTGAGAGTGAAGCTGACATACTTCCTACGAAGGTCCTATCATCATCTTTCCTGGAAGCGAATTTTACAGTTTCAGGACTGCCGCTACGAAACGTGTAAGACTTACTTTTACGTGTAGTTCGGTGTTGTGTCTTGAAGTGGTGCTTTTTAGCATGTAGCTTATTAAAAACGGGATAACTAGTTAGTAGGATGAAGAGAGTTGTAAGCACTATCATAAATCACTATCACGTACTTTTTCATTTTCCGTATTACAGAATTGCAAATTTTACTATTTTCTGGCAAGATTATTGACGTTTATTCTTGTGTCATAGGACCATTTTGTTCGCTTACCTCTGAATTTGCTGAAGGAAAATGATGCTTCTAATTTAACCGAGGAATACGCAAAAAAATTAACTAACGTTCGAAATAACCAGTGAAAATAAGCCTGGGTAATTCAAGGTGCAGGGATTGGAAGCTACTTATTAATGGAAGTAGGCACACAGCACATCACATAAAGTAGTACCGAAGTGCTTTGCTATGTCTGGGAGCGCGTTGGTGTGGTGCTTATAAGAAATTTTATTCTACTCGTAAACTTCCAGGCATTAAGTTTATTCGTGTTCACCTCACTTTCCGCTTACCAATCACTGGTTAATTAGTGGCCATTAGAGCAAGTTTAGATGTACAGCCTCTGTTAGGCTAGAGATTTACAACGCTGCTAGGTATTATATTTGACTTCGGAACAGATGGGTGTCAACTGAACAGGTGAGATTTTTGACGTTGGACTAAAAATACCAGCTAACAAAGTAAACGGAATTAAAGTCCATCTCATCGAATTCATCGGGAGTGGTACATTTAGCCTACTACAATACGTAGACTGTACTGAAAACATTCACTGCCCTGTGAAAGTATCGAGGATCTATTCATCAGCTTATACAACTGCCAAAATTCTTATCCCAGGAAAAAAGAGCAGCTTGCATTAATAATCAGAGTTTCATTTAACTTGATTAGTAGTCCATAACTGCTTCTTATACACTGTCCATCTAATTTGATTGTTGGTCTCTCAAGGCAACATACTTACCCAGCCTAAAACTGTACGTAAGCCTGGTAAATGTTTAATGCAGTACATTTCAACGTCAAAACTATGCCCATTTGTTATGTGGTATGACTAATCAACTTAAGCCTAAATAATGGAATACTGATTATCTCACTTCACTTAATAAAAGGGTTTGTGGTCCATATTTGAATACTGATGCTAGTGCCAGTGTGTGTTTTTTGTCTAATAATAATGGTAATTTATTGAAACGAAAACACGATTATTGGCACTAGAATAGGGTTTTAAATTTAGTAACTGGAAACACTGTTGGATTTTTATAAAAATTAGCGCATCTTGTGGGCGTTGCATCATGATGGACATCGATTGCTGAAAGTTATTGCACGTGAGATAATTGGACATTTATATTATTCAGTGATACTGTAAAAAATAGTTTTCGGTTTAAATTACAAATGTTAACATGCAACTCGTTGTTTTTAGCTGGTAGTGTTTAGGTTATTGCAGTACCCGGCTTCTCATAAAAAGAACTGTCACGAGTAGCAGTTACAGTGCTTAGTGCTGGTGTGAACTTACCGAAAATGCATGTTTCTTTAATGATACTGGGCGGAGTTGGATATTTCACGGCTGTATTTTAAATGTCTCATCATGATGATTCTGGGGAAGATGTAAAAAGGAGAAAACTTCAAGAAGTACAGTGAACAACCACAAATTTCAGTAAAATTTGATCATTTATGATCACTAGGAGATGCTAACTCAGTACAGTTCACAATCCTTCCTTCAGTTTTCAATAAGAGTTAAATATTTAACATTTTGAAGCGCGTTTCCATTCACTTCCGCTGCACAAAAATTCATGGTTTCCACCAGAGATTTCAGTTTCATTATCTAAGCTATGTAGACATAATAATTATTACTATTATTCACAAACATCTTGCGGGTACGTAAGTGTTGTGAAGAAAATATTCAGAAATTCAATAATACACAAGCTCCAATAATGTTAGCAAAAAGTTTACCACATTTGAATAAAAAGGAAGAATAGAAAAAGAAAAAAACATAGTGGCGATAATAGAATAATAATAAATCAGGTTCTATTTAATTGAGGAGAATATCGAGTTGATTTTGAATGAGGAAAGGTAGAAAATAAGAGAATAGAAATGAAGGAAACACGAAATATGTAAATAATTTAACAAGTATGTTTGCGAACACAGGACAAGAATAAACGACAAATAACAAAAAGAAAAGACAAAGATCATAAGTTAATAAGAATACAGCTTATTACTGCAGTAAGATATGATGGTAGAATAAGTGTTTATTCAGTAATTGTTTTGGGCGATGCTATGAAAATCCCAATTAGGTGCAAAAGATAATCAAATATCAATATGTATGAGTCATAAATACATAGTGAAGATAAAAAGAGTCTGTGAAGTTACCCTGAGTACAACATAAGGTATTGTTTTAATTGCAAACTTCGGATACATAAGAATAATATTTATTTAGAAGGAAGATAGGAAAAAAATTCTGAAGTAAGAAAAGATGGACACCCAGTGAGAGGATTCAAGAATGATAAATTGACCTTTGAAGCGAACCATTAGTTAAAAAATTTTAAAGTCCACTTGGGTAAATGGACGTAAATTTATATGACAGGATGCCGAGTACAACTTGATGTTAGTGTAAACTCTTGTGCAATAATAATTTAGAATGATTCTATAAATGTCAGAACTAACTACAAGGGATAGTCAAATATAAATTTCTGTGCTATATATATGGTGAAGATAAAATCAACCTGAGAAGTTGATTTATTTAACAGTGACATAAGAAAATTTGTTTTTAGTTGTAGACGGATGTTTAGGAGGAAAAGAAGGGACAAAAAGAGTGTCTAATTTGTCGAGAGACCAATTTTAAAGATAATTATTATCAAAGACATGAACATAAGCGGACTTCAGATATTGAGGTGAACAGAACGAAAATAAAATACACGATAAAAGTTTCAGAATTTCTACTTTGTTTTTCAGCCAATCAGATAGATGATGGACCTTGTTTGTATGAATCATTGTCAAACACATTGATGTTCATTAGGTGACAAAATCCACTTTCATAAAGACTATCATCAGGAAGACTTCGGAACCGGGTCGTAGTTTTGCCACAACGTAGGTTCCCTGGTGGTCTGTTCTACATGGTTGAGCAGCGAATAACGAAGAAATTCTGGCGTACTTTTGTGCAGGTTCTCGGAATCATAAGAATATTTTTCTGATTGTGTTGATTGTGGGATGATGTCATAGAATACGAAGGTGTGAGTGACAAAAGAACAAAAAATATCATGAATAAGCCGGTAGATAAATACAAGGTTCAATTTGATATGTCTGATCCAGAGAGGTTGTAGTTTGAGTTGTTGACATCTTTGGTGATAGTCTTTGTTGTCGGAATACCCCAAAACAGCTTTAGTGAACCTTCTTCGGACACCTTCAATTTCGATCAGATCATTATGCCTGCGGTCACTGTAAACTAAAATACCATATTCAA